TTTTAATGTATTCGGCACATGTGAAATACGGGGTATGAAACGGGCCTCATTCCCGCTAGTCGGCGAGTGCCTTATACTAAAGACAAGCTTTTATATTGGATAATAGATAGCATTCTAGTGTCGTAATTCACTGATCAAACAGCTATTCGTTTTGAGAGACTATATATGCCAGCAGTATGTCTAATTTTGAGCTTTCTAGATCTGATTTACTCGAGTTGTGTGCGTCTGAATACAACATGCCCGAGTTAAGCGATCGAGTTTTGGTGTTTGATGTTATGCACGAAGGCTGGGGAACTACACGCCTTCTGGAAAACATTTTAACGACTGCGCCAAACGAAGTGACTGCCTCAGGCGAATATCAAGGAAACGAACTTCAGCAATCTGAGGACTTGAACGACCCTTTATCAGATTCTCTCGAGAAATCCAACACGCCAGTGTTACACCGAATCCCTGAACGTCTTCTACGGCAGCATAAGATATATGTGCATAGCTTCTGGCTTTCTATTCACAGTTCTTATTTTCGATCTCTCTTTCATTCGAGTGGCATGAAAGAAAACCAAGAGAAACAAGTGCATATGAAAATCTCGGAGTTGGAAGAAAATGCGCATCTGGTCCTCATCGAAGCTATCTACCGTGATGACGTTTTGGGTGACAAAACTGCGGACGAACAGCTGGCTGTTTTAGAGTTGGCCAGCAAATACGACCTCAAGTTCGTTTTTAAGAAATGCAAATATATCCTGCAAACGAATCCCATTCCGTTCGAGATAAGTACGAAAATAATGCATGTGATTAATGTGAAACATAACATGAACGATGTTGGAGACTTAGTAGAAATTTTACAGCCGATCCTTGTCAAGGAATTTAGTCCTCTCGATGAGAATTGGCAATCTGATAAATTTACCAGTCTGTCAGAAGTTTGTCTAGAATATGTACTAAGCAGTGATGACTTGATTGTCGCATCAGAGAACACAGTATTTCATGCGTTGATGTATTGGATGGAGCAGAATGATGTAGACCCTGCTAGTTTGGAAGAAACAAATGATCTTCTGGCTGTTGTGCGGTACAAGCTGGTGGCAATTGACTATCTTTATAACGTGATCAAAAACCATCCCATTGCGTCAAAGATGCCAAAGTTTAGCGAGTTCTACCATGGTGGTTTGACGTATCATGCATTACCTTCCGAGCAAAAGAAGCTGTTCCAAGAAAAACCTGTAACAAGAAAGAAACCAGAAGGACCAATTATCCAGCACACTTTCGTTGTTGAAGAAGAGGACTTTAAAACTGCAGTAGAAAATGGAAGCGAGTTAAACTCCGAAAAGTTTTGGGCATGTGGTTACCGGATAAGTGTGGGTATACAACCATCGTCAAATGATATATTATATCCTTATATGATTGTCCATAACTTGAACAGAGAAAGTTATGTTCCACTTAAGTTTACGTTTCTCAAAGAAAGGGAAACCCAAATTAACTATTGCCCCTGGAAAGAGAAAGCTTTTAAAGCAAATTCTTGCAGAGAAAACTATCTAAGAAGCTTTACACGAGGATATTTTGGAAATACGATTCACACGTTGTACGTAGCAGTAACTTTGCAGTAACCTTGGGACAAGCGTTACTGAATATTCTGTAAAATGTACTACCTGTATAAAGTAATAATGTTGCCTTGCAGGCGGTCTATGCTATCAAAGACAAAGTTGCTTTGATCATTGTATGCTTTATTATTTTTCTTTGTGGTAGTTAACCGATTTTAAAGCCACACTTTTATATCAAACGTTTTTGCATTGAAGTTTAATATCACATAAATTTTTCATGTAAACAAGCAGACTGTTTGACTGCAATAGTTGTACACTTCGTATCAGTAAAACTATATTAATAAATCATAACGCGTATGTTCTATCTGGTAGTAAGACTTTTAAGCTGTGTCACGAGTGACAGGTCAAATTCTTGAATTTTAATTGCATAAATATTTTAAGCAGCCCGGCCGGAACAAATACCTTGCAAGCAAAATACTATTTTCAAAGTCTGAGTTTTCGTAACAAACTCTCTGATACAGACACTTTTCCGTTACGGACACCTCTCTAATATGGGCACCTCTCTAATATGAACATCTCTCTAATACGAACACCTCTCTAATATGAACATCTCTCTAATATGAACATCTCTCTAATATAAACATCTCTCTAATATGAACATCTCTCTAATATGAACATCTCTCTAATACGAACACCTCTCTAATATGAACACCTCTCTAATATGGACATCTCACTAATATGGGCACCTCTCTAATATGAACATCTCTCTAATATGGACACCCCTCTAATATGAACATCTCTCTAATATGAACACCTCTCTAATATGGACACCTCTCTAATATGGGCACCTCTCTAATATGGACACCTCTCTAATATGGACATCTCTCTAATATGGACACCTCTCTAATATGGGCACCTCCCTAATATGAACATCTCTAATATGGGCACCTCTCTAATATGGACACCTCTCTAATATGAACATCTCTCTAATACGAACACCTCTCTAATATGAACATCTCTCTAATATGAACATCTCTCTAATATGAACACCTCTCTAATATGGACACTTCTCTAATATGGACACCTCTCTAATATGGGCACCTCTCTAATATGGACATCTCTCTAATATGAACACCTCTCTAATATGGACATCTCTCTAATATGAACATCTCTCTAATATGGACATCTCTCTAATATGGACACCTCTCTAATATGGACACCTCTCTAATATGGACACCTCTCTAATATGGACACCTCTCTAATATGGACACCTCTCTAATATGGACACCTCTCTAATATGGACACCTCTCTAATATGGACACCTCTCTAATATGGACACCTCTCTAATACGGACACCTCTCTAATACGGACACCTCTCTAATACGGACACCTCTCTAATACGGACACCTCTCTAATACGGACACCTCTCTAATACGGACACCTCTCTAATACGGACTCCTCTCTAATACGGACACCTCTCTAATATGGACACCTCTCTAATATGGACACCTCTCTAATATGGACACCTCTCTAATATGGACACCTCTCTAATACAGACATTTCTCTAATACAGACACCTCTAATATGGGCACCTCTCTAGTCTCTAATACGGACACCTCTCTGGCTTTTTGGTTATCCAGACAGCAGACATTAAATTTAGAGTGTTAAAAGTGATGTCATTTGAAATCAGTACAAGTGTAGCATGCCCCTCTGAAATTGGCATAAAAACATTAGAATATTTCTTCCATCACAAACTTTATTTAACTGTAAATAAACTAAGACCATTTTCTATTTCAGAACGGAAAGCAACCTCTATGGATATATTTACTGAAGATCTTCCCAATGGCGATATCTCAGTCCCTGTATCAACTGACTATAGTTCTTACTCTGGTGCTCTTAATCCTTATCTTTCTATGGAGCCTAAGATCTCATTACCCTCATCACAGTCAATGCAATATAACATAGGTATATATATTGTATATTGTTTTGGGCTCATCCATAATTATCAACATTTTCACAAGTGTGCAAACTGTACTCAGGGAGAGAGCATTGATGAAAAAAGAGCTTGTGAAAATGTTGATAATTGTGGAGGTTCTATAGCCAAGGCTACATAGTTTCTGGAGGGTCAATTCTCACTTGATCAAGGTTTTATGTTGTACTCTTTACAGGAACTGTGGGTGCCAGTTCAAGTACAACAGGGTTGCCATCTATGGTGGATTCTCAATCTTATCAAATGGCGGGAAGAAAAACTACTAATGTGAAAAGTTATGCACCAACCATAAAGTCAGAGTATCCAGGTGGTTGATTGCTTCTCCTGGTTTAAAGCCTGTTTACAGTAGTTTAGGTTTCCTCCTGTAGTAACACTGGATCAATAAGAGATGATCCTTACTGGACCTCTAGGAAGAACATTTTAGAACTGATAGAGTTATCTAGTGCAAATAAAGTTAGTTCAGTTTAGATTTCCTCCTGTAGTAACACTGCATGATCATTACAGGACTTCTAGGAAGAACAGTTTAGAACTAACAGAGCTATCCAGTGCTATAAATAAACTTCTTCCTCTAGTAACACTGGGACAATAAGGATGACTCTTACGGCAGATAATCCCTTGCAACTCGCTCTCTATTTATTTATTTATTTGTAACAATCTTTCACTTGTTTCTTTTCCAAAATCACTCAGGCTTGCCCATGAGCACATCCTTAACAGTTGCCCCACAACTCGGTAATCCTTATGCTAACTCTGTTGCTGGGATGAGTGTCAACTCTGTTGCTGGGATGAGTGTCAACTATGTCCCCACCTCCTCAACTATGGCATCAATGTCCCACCTCGACTTGAACCCTATGGCAAACACTCCATCTAGCAAGCAACACGCAAGAAAAAAGTACGTTTTAATTATTGTACATTTACCGATGCTACATGAAGAAAACCCACGACTTTGGTGGTACAGTATAATCATGAGCGCAAGTGCCGCCGAGAGGGGGGGGGGCAAATTGCCCCGGGCCCCGAGTTGCTGGGGCCCCTGAAAAATTTTTGTTGGGCCCCAGCCTTTTTTGTGTGTTAAATATTTCCGCGCAAAGGACAAGATATCTGTTCTCTTGGGCTAAGTACCGAATTTTGGCATAAAAAAAATGAGATAAAATCCCTCGAAAGCAATTGCAACGTACTCGTCCGGAAAAATTTTGCATTCCGGAGAAAAAATTTTACCCCTAAAATGGTACACTGACCGAAATTTTTTTGGCGACGGTGGGGGGGAGGTTGTTCTCCGGAAAAAAATTTTTCCGGGAAAAATTTTTTAGATAGGGGCCCCTAAAAAAAAATTTGCCCCGGGCCCCGCCAACCTCTCGGCGGCCCTGATCATGAGCGCAAGTGCCTTTCGCCTCTGACATCGTGGGTTCGATTCTCGCTACGGAGTCAAGTTACTTATGTGAAGGGTCCGTCAACGCTCCAATCCTGGGTTTTCTCTTGGTACTCTGGTTTCCTCCCACAGGGAATGTGAACAGGATGGGTTGGGATTAGCCCCTTAAGCAGGAGTAATACGCGCAACAAAATCTGATTTCAACGCATGTTAAGTAGAAATGTTGACATATGTTGCCTCGTGATTTGTAATATATGTGTGAACATTTTCAATTAACATGTGTTGAAATCAGATTTTGTTGCAAGTTGCAACAATTTTGTTGCTCGTATTACTCCACATTTAACTGTGTCTTCCACCTTAGCTGTTGTTCCATGATCATGTGTCACAAAGTGGCTACCAGAGGTGCCCTTACTTAGAAAGACTTCGACTCGGTCAACTTGAGCTGCATCCTTCGCAATTTAGCTTAGCTCTCAGCTGCAAGTAAGGATGATTAGCAAAATTGTAATCTTAATGTTTTAGACAAAAGACGTCTGCTGCAGCTGGTACCCCTGTATCGACGGTCGATCAAGTTCCCTTACAAACTGAAGTGATATCTCAAGCTGTTGACTGGGTTTATGATCCTAATGAACCTCGATATTGTTTGTGTAATCAGGTGTGTAGTTGTGTCATCTTTTTGAGCGGGCACGCACAGGCAAAGCAAAACATGAATGTTGACTGAGGTTTTTTCTTTTTCACTTGTAGGTATCCTATGGAGAGATGGTCGGTTGTGATAATCCTAACGTAAGTGTATTTCTAAATCAACTCGTGCTTCCAGATTGTATTTATGTTAGGCAGGGGCCTAGCCAGGATTAGCAATCTACCCGTCCAAAAGTGCTAGGCCAATTCTCCCCTCCCCAAAAACACTATGTTTCCCTTGGAATAAATTTGAAATCAGACCTTCTAAGGTTAACCTAGGGTTAAGCTAATCCAGCTTTGAACAACTGGTCCCTGGAGATAGTGTCACTGCTTGGGTCCCTAACTTCTACAGCCATAAATCAACGTTTTTTTAATGATTACGTTTTTCTTACGTGTTTGCCAAATCTCACTTTTTCTTATAGTGTCGGATCGAATGGTTCCACTACGGTTGTGTGGGAATTACTGACCCACCCAAAGGGAAATGGTTTTGTCCGAACTGTACTGTTCTGATGTCTAAGAAGAAACGAAGATGATTGCCGCTGTTTTAAGGTGGGAGCGTTTTGAGGTCGATCTCCCAGACCTGGAAAAAGTACATCTAATGTTCCTCGGTTCTTGAGTTTACCTTTTTCAAATGTCCTCAAAAGTGCGTAAAAACAAAAGAAAAATATGACCGTGCGTTACACTATGATCAGATTATGTATGCAACAACAAATTATACTTGACTGTAGTTATGTTTCACGTCTCAACAGACAGATAAGCAAGTATGAGATAATGATTGCTTAAGATTCTCCAAAATAACGCGAGATAGGTCCCCGGTTAAAATGACCGGTCACTTCATTTTAGCTCGGTCAAAATCTGTTTTTGACCTGTCATTGATACGCTTACACTAACAGTGAAACAAACTATTAGAAATTTGTTTCGATACATCATAGTTTCATCTTTTAATTCAAGATGAAAATGTGGGCGGTCAAAATGACCGGTGAGGTAAAAAATGACCGGTCAAGAGTCATTTTTGGCCGGTCATTGTCCGTTGACCGGCCGTTATTTTGAGCCCTGATTCTCCTATAACGTATTTGTGAAAATGTTCCTCGACTTCACGCTGAGGCAAATCATCCTTAAGATCCCACTTTTCTCCAGGGGTCGGTTGTATAAAACTCTTAATCACTTTTTTAATCACTATTTTGTAGTTAAATAGTGATTAACTCTCGCCCTTCTTATTGGATGACGTTTGCACTTAACCATAGTTAACTTTAATCACTTTTTTATACAACCGGCCCCAGGTCTGCGGTGGATCTCCCATACCTAGAGAAAGCACGGCTAAGGCCAAGCCTTGCTGTGTAAACACGACTTTAGTAACATAACACGAGACCCATGGATCTGAATAGCAGGCTCCGTAGTCTGTACTGATACAGAGAATAATCTTGAATGCCCTGTGCCATTGTAGGTAGTGGCAATAATAACAAGCTTTCGTTAGTAGGGATACAACTACCTGAAAAATACAAGGATAATTTCGACGTTTCGAGCGAAGGCTCTTGACTAACCTCCTTCGAATTTCACCCTGTATTTTTCAAATAGTTGCATCTCTACCAACGAAAGCTTGATGTTGATGTAGAGAATGATACCCGTTTAAAATTGTTATACTCAGAAATCCGCAATTATGCGTGATATAAATAATATCATAGTTCATATAGTAAAGACAAACTCCTAGCCCAGCACCTATACGCGCTTTACCTGGCCTGGGTCCAGCAACTGCCCACTTTTTCAAGCGAAATATGCATTCTGGTGGGTTTTTCGAAACTCAATTTTCTTTCGAATGAACACTGTATAAATAACTCTGGCTGGTTTATCAGAGTTTTATTGAATTGCAGGACGATGTGATAATATAATTTATTTATATAAATAAACTATATATACTGTGTACAATGTATATAATAAAATAGTATGGATTTCAATAAATAGTCAAAATGTCTGGAAAAAAAATTGGGAAGGTTCAACCACTGTTGAAAACTATTTCATTTGGTTTTCTGATACAGTCTTCTATTCACAGTGTCTACTGTTCTAATCTCCGTTTCTGTAACCTTTCTTTTTTAAGTTTCCTTTTTGCAAGTAACTTTTTTCTGTTTTCGAATTCTTTGTTGGAACATTTCCTGTGTGTTCTTGTCAGTTTAATTCGTTTCTTTTGTGCTATTCCTTGCACTTTCTTACCTGTATCCGTAGTGCATTGACGTTTTCGTTTCGTGGAGTCTATTTCAGTGTTCGTATTAATACGATCATCCCTTTCTTCTGCGTGTGATTCTTTAGTATTTACACTAGAAACGTGTTGTTTCTTTCGTAATCTTGATTTCATTTCATTGTGATTAATGTCTCTCTGTATTCCGTTTCCTTTGTGGTTCGCAACCTCAACTGTTCCTGTTGAATTTCTTGCTTCAAACAGCGCCAGAAAAAACCCACTCGTAGAACCTTCTTTTGGAGAGGCACGCACACAATTCGATGCTGAAAATAAATTGAAAATGATTCACTATGTCACAATGATTTCTAGTTTAGCCCAGGATTTAGATACCTTGAGGAAACACAGCATGTCCTCTGTGTGGCCAGTCAGGTAATGCCTTCTTTAATTCAAACTTTTCATGGAATTTTTCCAAACATTTCACGATCACCTCCTCGTTTTCCTAAATTAATAAATCATCATTCATTAGTAGTGAGAAATAATAAATCCCCATATGGGAGTCATCGAGTTTTGTGCAACGTTCACAAAGTATAGTATACGTACAATATTATGTAGTGAGCATGTTGAATAGACAGCTTTCTTTACATTGGGGAAACTCAGAGCATGACTCAAGACTTTCACTTGAAACCGCGCCAATGAATACACCCTTTGCTTTTCTTTCGCATCCTAAAAATATAGACAAAAATTCACCTAGTTTTGCAATAGGACCTAATCATAAATAATTACCACACACATGCAAACCAACCAACATCCAAAAACGAGCAATACCATATTGTCGATATCGGAAGTGACGTAATCCAGTCGGTTGATCATACCCGAACCAGAACATGAGGGATCCACTAGGATATATTGGACATTTGTGTACACAGGATCCCTAGGGTCTGTCTAGATAACGGAGATTGTATGATTGAAACTTACTACAGTCTGAAAAAAACTTGACACACTAATTTGTACAATCAAACCTTTAAAAAATCTTGATGTTTTGCCTCGACAATTTTTTCACCAGCTCGGTGAAGTAATTTCTTCATTGTTGAAATTCTTTTCTCGGAAATATCAAACGCGAAGATTTGCCTGTACAAGAATATGAAATTGATAAAACACCTTTGAACAAAGGTACAACATTGCATGACATATGTGATCACTGACCCTTTGTTGTCCATGATTGCGGCTAGGTGACTGGTTTTATTCCCAGGCGCGGCGCATGCGTCCATTACGTCACTTCCGGCTGGTGGATTAAGCACAAAAGCTGGAAAGCAACTTGCCTAGATGACAAAGAAGGGCAATCTTATTGGTCCAGTGTTATCAACTAACGTTATATCTAGACTGTTCTTCTTAGATGCTCAGAAAGGGTTTTCCGTTATTGGTCCAGTGTTATAAAGGATAGCTCTATCATTTTTAGACTGCTCTTCTTTATAGATGCCAAATAAGAATCTTCCTTTATTGGTCTAGTGTTACTACAGGAGGAAACCGCAGTACTTAGAGAGAATCTGTGATGTTTGGCAGAGTCAAACTGGAAGCATTCTTCCCACAGATAACTGCAGGAATTGTAACCTGAGTAACAGACGCGTGCAATGATCTTCAATCCTTGTGTTCTTACTTTGTCCTGCAGAATGATCTTGCCTTCTTTATACAGAATATTGTCGTGCAGATCAGTTCCTGCTGGGAAGACCAAAACATTTGGAATATGTTCGTCAACACAAAATGTTCCACTTGCCATCTGGAATTTTATACGACAAAGACGATAAATAATACGAGCAATAAAATTGTTTGCAACAAAAACTGACTTCAATGCATGTTAAATCTAAGTAAAAATATTCACACATAACTAAATTCTTGCTTAACGTAAACTGATGTATATACCTGAATCGAATCAACTATGCTGCGTTTCCTTCGTAACTTAAAACCATTTTCAGTAAACCACGCAATGACTTCCTCTGTTGAAGTTCTCACTGTATTCACTCGAACATAACGCGGTATCTGCATTTCTGTTTCAAATACAAATGGACACGAATACAATCAATGTCATCAGGATGTTTATGTTTGTCACCACCCAATTCATATTTTCGAAAAACTCACACGCCTAGTCACCACTGTTCTGATAATGTAAGCATAGAATTGAGCAAAGGCAACCAAACATTTCAATTATATTTGTGATTGAATTGGATGGCAATAGAATAAACATGTGTTACGTGTTGATGTTATGTACTCAGGTGAA